GGTTGTTCTGTCAGCTTTTTGTCTATGTAGCAATTTTTTTGGAGTGCACCGTTATGACAAAATAAGTCTACATTAAGCTTTCATGTGCAGTTGCAATCACCACGTTTTCACCTCTCCTCTGATTTGAGCTTCATCAATGCCGGCCTTTAAAATGAAAATAAACTTTTATTATATAGAGAAACCCTTTTATAAATAAAATTCAATCCAACGACTATTCCTGATGCGCCATAAATTATTCTGAACAACAATTTCACATGATATGTCTTAAGAAGCCCAAAGAAGCTTAGGCATTGAAGCATCCTGTTTGTACCTTTTCTGTGGATCTTCATCTCAGTTTGCATCATTTATAGTTAAACTATGTTTTTTTTCAAGCCAAGTAAACATTGTTGACCGGATGCTGAGCAGAATGGAGAAGTACTCGGCAGATCTGGAAGACCAGGTTTGTCAGAGAACTGCCGAGTTGCGAGAGGAGCAGGTCAGGACGGAAATGCTGATTGCGAAGATGTTACCGAGGTATGTGACCAATGTTTACCTACGAGGCAGTTTTGCGTGAATCAACTGAACTTTATTGTGACCTACTGGAACTTTCTTGTCGTATAGAATATGCCTCAGTTACGTAAAGTGTCAATTCACAAAGTACGCATACTTGTCGATGCTGTCTGTACATTATTTTAAGGATACACGTGTCTTGCTGAACAGCCCTTCCTCGGCAGTCAGCAAACGTAACTCAATTTGGACATTTAAATGAGTAGGAACTCAAAGGATAAATCTCAGCTGGTGACTACTTCAAATAGATTCCAAAAAGCGAACAGGGGCATCCATTTTCCTCCACGATACTTAACTCATCGTTAGGTCTATTTTATTTCTTTGTTGAAGAGCTATTGATGCAGCTCAAATGAGCAAACCCGAACCAAACGGTCTTTTTAATACGGGACTGGTGGTAAAAATGAATTTTACCGGTAAGGCGAACGTTAACGATAGCTCAGGGACTTTGGGAAATAAAAATTAAGACCAAAAACCTAACCCATAACCTTGTTTAAGTACTCTTAAAAGGCAAAATGGAAGAGCGTGCAAATTAAAAGATGGTGTGTAAGTAGACTGCAAACGGGCTGAGGACGCAGAAGCTGTATGGAGCTGGTAGACAACAGATATCTGAAGGTAAGAATCGGTTGTTCAATCCCAAAGCTACAGTCCTAGCCCAAAGCGATAATCTTAGGTCATGTCCCTAACTCTAAGCAAAAACACGAAGCAGAAACCGAATAAATTACCTTACAGGCTTCGTTGAGGTCCACACGATGTCCGGAGTCAACCATGTGGGCAAGTATGGCGCTGTTGATGCTTCTGACTTCACCTTTGCTCAGCCATGCCGGAAGGTGCTCCCGTATTCTTTTGGATAAGCGTCGACTTGTGCGATCGATATAACTTCAGTTCAGTTCAGTTTTATG